CCAGCACTAATTCATTAGAGTCAAAATATTAAATACACAATAAACTAGTTAAGTATTAAGCACATTGATTTAAGAATAAAAAGTGTAATGCATCACATTTAAAATAAGTATTCTTGTTGCTAAGTGACAGTCATATGTAACGTGCAACTGTGATCAAAACGATATTAAATTATATTTGCTTCTACATATCGCTGATTAAATGCCAAAGCACCACATGACGCAAATGGTAAATTTTACAGAAGAGCTTATCAAAATTTTCTATAAGTGTTACCTATATCTATGTGTTATCTCTAGAATCATGGGTATTTTTTTTCCATATAACGATTTAGATACAATTTTGAAAAAGAAAATAATGTCAGGTTTTTTGCGTAGTGGCCCTTTGGCATTTAATCAGCGATATAACCACTGAATACCATCATTAACTAAATAAGATTAAATCAGTCGTAATGATTACAGCGAACCAGTTCCAGAAGAAAGAAACAACTAATCATTATATGTGCTTATACTTGATATAGACTTTATTAGTTTTATTTATAACTAGCGGTTGTCCGCGGTTTCGCACGCATGATGTAAATCTGTTAATAGCGGATGATTATGTTATGAAATAGATACATGTTCCAAATATCAGCCTATTTGTGTTGTATGTTTATAGTTGAACAATCGATTTTTTAATTATAGAGTATATGCATAGGGTTGGAATCACCATAATTATATCTGAAGCCAACCAAGGAAAATGTGAAAAATCTTCATATAATTTATATTAAATTTTTCATTCAATTAAATATCTGGCTAAATTTCGTTTACTAGATATTTAACCTTTTTTTAAATAAGACAAACCTTGTGCGTATATCGCGGTATATATGTATGTGTATGCCCCAGCGCGCACTGATTTTGACCAGACTTTTTGTAACCAATAGTCAGAAAATCACTTTATTCATAACGTAAATTAAACTGAGATGAATGTGGAATTAAACTGTTGTATTATAATAATATTAATAATCTCAGTACAATAACACAGCGTCATCTAGACCCAAGTTAAGCCAGATAAAACTTGTGTTCTGGATACTAGATAACAACAAACACATAGTTATATTTTTTTCCTTAATACATATATGCATTGAAAACACCCAGACTGATACAAACAATCATACTCACGAATACAAATGTTTGTGCCGTGCGAGGAATCGAACCCGCGACCATCGGAAGTAAGGCAGTTTGCTAAACCGCTAGACCATCGAGGTCGTCGTGTAATAAATCAATACAATTCATATATTCAAGTTAAAGACTTGCAAATCATGTCACCCATGGAAGTGCTTCAAAGCGCATCTTGTGATCTATCTCCAACAAGGGTCTACAGTGGGCTATTGACTATAATGTGTAGATGTTTGGTCAACAGTTGACGCAATAAAATTTTATAGTTAAGTGGAAACATTGTTATGACCCGGTTCGTTAGTTCAGTTAACCGAACATGTGGGCGATGTTTTATAATTAGAAACCGCTAACAGCTAATATTAGGTTATTTAAATCCACTTTTGAGAACAACTACTGGTAAGAAAGTAAAGAGTTAAAAATTAAATAAATAAATAACCCTGGACAAATAACACAGCGCCATCTAGTACCACGGTAAGCAGAGCTTGTGTTATGGGTACGGGATAATAAATACTTCGATATATATATTTTGTAAATACATAATATATATATATTTTTTGTGTTATAGTAAAGACATACATAATACCTGTACACACAGAGAACACCCAGACCAATACAAACAATCATACACATGAAATACAAATGTTTGTGCCGTGCGAAGAATCGATCCCGCGACCATCGGAAGGACCGTCTGCTAAACCGCTAGACTACCAAGGCAGTCAATTGCTATTTTTTATTATTATTATTATGAATGGGTTTGCGGTTAGTCTTACCTCATCTGGTGGGAAATGATATTGAGACCTAGGATGTACCGCGTTTACCTAGAAGAAGTCTATTCACTACAGACTTGAAGAGTCGAGGCTCTATTTCTTCAGGAACACAAAAGCTGGAAGTATGTTTCACTCTTTAGCAATGCGCTTTAGATATGACGACTAACATCGTCGATCGTAAATGAATACGAAACTACCACAGAATGTAGGGTTTATTAGTAATGTGGACTAATAACCATTGCTAGCAATGTCCCAAGGCAGGTTCATCAGTTGTCTAATACCCATGACACAAGCTCTACTTAGCTTGGGACTAGATTGTGTTGTGTGAGCTGTCCTAAGATATTATTATTTCTTGAATAATGGTATATTGATCTCTCCCCAGTCATATAAAACTATATGTGCATCCTTATACAACATATTAAGTTCAAGTTTCAATAAATGTGTTCAGACTTATAATTGTGACAAACTAACAAATAGATATACAGTTACACTTACGTATTTATTATATTAGTATGGATAGTATTTTGGTGGTTGGTTAAACCGTATGAGTCATTGCTATTTTCCCCATGATTACTTCATAGCAAGTGTTCACCCCATGTCTGGTATCCAGCAGACATGGGGTGAATTCTACAGAATGACGTCACGATGGAATTGAATAAATTTCAAATGGTAACGTGAAGTATCTACGTCTGTATATGTATGACAACGACCTGGGTGGTATAGTGGTTTAGCACATACTTTACTACACATTTAGCACATAGCGCATTGTTTCCAATGGTCGCAGGTTGAATTCCTCGCACGGTGCATACATTTGTATTCATGAGTATGATTGTTTGTATTGGTTCGGGTGTTTCATATATATGTTACTAGCTATGCCCGAGTTTTACCCGTGTGAAATTTATAGCTTATATGTTATTCTGATATATAAGCTATATTCCTGTAAATTTTCTTTAAAATCTGTTCATTAGTTTGAAATGAAACAGTAATAAATATCCACCCATACTCACAAACTTTCGCCTTCATAATATTTATAAGATGTATGCATTTATAAAAAAATATATAAGCATTTATATCAGTTGTCTAATACCCATAACACAAGCTCTGCTTAGCTTGGGACTAGATGGCGTTGTATATATTGTATTTATACAGCGCCATCTAGTCCCAAGCTAAGCAGAGCTTGTGTTATATAACTGCTTTCTGCAAGTAAATAATGGTTATTTCATTTCATTAAAAAAATGTTTCAAGTGTACCTACTCGTATGTACAGAAGTATGTTCAGTTCTATGGCACAGACAGAAAGGTATAATTTTTTTTAACTTGTTTAATACAGAACGCTAAAATAAGATATTTACTGTCGTGCTATATATAAAATATTTACCTTCCCTCTTATAATACAATCTTATGAAAGCTGTCGACTGAATGGCATCAACTAATAAACTTCTTCAATAAACCTTGAAGACCTGAACTCGGTTTCCTCGTTAACTCTAGACGTATTTATTGCTTTTCTACTGAATTTAAATGAGATATATAAATAATGTGCAGTATTGTTATTTTTTATACTGTTATAGTCTCGGTACTCTAGCGGATTAATACAAGGCCGCACTGTGGGTTGTAGATTCAATTCTCGCACGATCCAAACAGTTGTAATAATAAGTACGATTGTATTTGTCTGGGTATTTTGTATGTACTTTGTTATATATTTACAAAAAAAAGGGTTTAAGTATTTCTATCAGTTGTTTAATATAAGTTTTAATTAACTCCCTAATTACTGGCTAAGCTTATTTAGAACTCTTGATAATCAGCAGACTATAGACTCGATATTACATATATGTATATGTATATATATTTAACAATAACTAAAATATATATACGTTTATATTATTAACCGGGTCTAACACGCATAATTTCACATGTATAACGCCGTCGCGTCGCCACGAACTGACGAACCTTACGAGAGGTAAATACCTTTATTTACCAAAAAAATATTGTTAAGCCCCAAGTTAACAATACAAAAAAGGTCTTGATTATCTGATATCGACTGAATAACTAAATAAACCCAGGAGGAAATCTTTAATAATATTGTTACCATTTTCAATTTATATGATCTGCAACAGACATTAGATAAAGCAAACCTGATAAAACTCTCGCCATTTATCGACGTAAAGCAAAGATAACAAAATGTTCCAGTGCAATACAGCTTTTGTTGGCGATTTCACGTTTTCCCCAACTTTCCAACTATGTGAAAAGAGAAATGAAACTGCTAACACTCAATAAGATATTAAACTTAATGTTTAGTTCTGTGAAATTATTTTATTCGCTCACTCCGTTGTGCTGTTTAGTCGGATTTTAGATGCAAAATCGTATAAATTTTCATTTTTTTGTACTCCGATTATTTTGTTTCCAATAGATGAATTAGGCGTCTTTCTTGTTTTCAACTATTACTACCTACCTGTCCTATGTAATTTAAAATAAAAAAAATATGAATTTCATTATTTTTGTTTGCACCTACCTCATAACTTGATTATAAGTGTTTCCGTCAGGGGAGTAGATATAAATTGATACAAAATGACTTTGATGTCTGCCAAATTAAAAATTTACAACGATTTTTAAAATCTAAATCAGATTAGTAAACCAATAGACCTCGACGGCGTCGAGTAACATTAAATCAAGTATTCATTACATTTATACAAGTATAAGTAGTAGTTAATTTTCTGTATTGTGGTTATCATAAATATCTACATACATTATCATGCTTCGACAAGACGCAGTAGTAATTATTTCTGCCCTGTTGCCTCTTTGCCATGTTTTTTTGCAATACTCATGCATTATAATTTAATATGACGTGTAACGGCCACAGTAGATATAAATATTGCAGGTTCGATCCTAGTCGTCTAGACGCCACTGCCTTTGATCGACGGATGGATTGACTTGGTGAAGTTTTTTTTAGTCTTTTAAAAACAAACAATGTTCTAGAAGGTTCCCGAATATAATTATAATTACAAGCGGTTTGTGTTGAGCGAATGTAGACCCAAGAAGAACGAGAAAATACTTGGGTAAGAGAATATGAATGAAAGGTACTTACTTGATGACGCCATCCTCGATGTACACGTCGGCGTCTTCCATTCCATCATCGTTGACAACACGGCCATTCTTGATTAGCAGCCGATTTTGGGAACTCTGCAACAAGAAAAATTTTTGTTTATTTTTCAATAAATTAAAAAGTTTATAATACAAGACATCCAATTACATAAGCAATTCCATAATTAAAATCAAAGGTTATATTTAGTCATCATCATCAACATCTGCTTCTTCCTTATCCCATTTATTTGGATGATTAAGGGTTAATGGAAGAGGAAAACATATTACGCCGAATACATTTTTCTCTTCCATTCATCCCTGTTCGCAGTCATCTCGTTATTTACTCCCTTTCTTACCTTATCATCTTTCACACAATACATCCATCTCTATTTCGGCCTTTCTACCCCCTTATACCACATTCATATGTAACACGTCCCTTAAAATGTTATCATCATTCTTACGGATTACATGCCCAAACCACAACAAACGATTACTCCTCAACCTCTCCGACACCGGCGCCACTTTCATACTTCCTCTAACGTATTTGGTATCCAGTTCAGAAAATAATTTTCATCGAAACTCGTTACCTAAACTAATACTTGTAAATACTTCGTTTGTAAAAGTTTAATTAAATTTAAAAATTGCCTTTGTTGTTATTATGGACTTTTTCCTATTCTATTCTAGCGCCACCTACCACCTTTTGTCTTCGGTCTACCCAAAGATGTGTGTAAGAGATTGCGTAAGCGATAAGACGTATATAGGCAGTCTTCTAGAAACTTTTGAGTTCTGTCCCCTATTACTTTGTTAATTTTGATTCCTGTAATATAGGTGCAATGCGGAATATATGATTAATAAAGTAAATACTTGATGAATTTAAAAATTCCTGTCATTTGCTAAAAACTGCATTATTAGAAAGAAAGAGAGAAAAACATTTATTGTCAACCATTATATACATAGCGAGCTTATTTGCTAGCTATTTGTTGGATTTATTATTAAAAAAATACATTTCTCCACAATACTTGAACCCATCGGAAAACTGTTATTTAGACGTCGTTTAATCGCTTGCTATATACATAATTTATTTATTCGCCATTTCAAGTAAACGTCTGAAAATATAATGTGGCTAGGCACCATTAATTAATAGATTTGACAAATTAAGGCACGCCCTCGTCAACCAATTAATTTAGGCCTGACAGACACACCTAAACGTATTAGGGTTATCCCGAGTTTGTAATTTGTCTGACTTGCTGCTTTATTTTTTTTTAAGTAAGTACAACAGGAATCTAACCTACAATAGGTACTGTCACAACGGAGAACTAAGATGTCATGTGGTAACATGGTATGTACCCTGTAATTTCACTATCATATCTCATCTATAAAGATTGATGATGAGATGAGTTTGATGATATGGTAGTTAAGGCGAGAGATGTAAGGCATACAACTGAAAAGCGAATGTTGAGATAGATAAGAATGAGCAAGATAAAGAATGAATACATCAGATGAAGTATGAAAGTAAAACTAGTGTTGGAGAAGTTGAGAAATCGTCTGTAATGGTATAAGCATGCAATGTGTAGGAATGAAAAGCATATTTTAATGAAAGTATTATATATAAATGTGGGTAGTAAGGGCAGAGGTAGGCCGATAATGAGAGGGATGAACAGTGTGAAAGGAGAAATAACAGGATGTCTGCGAACAGGGATGAATGGAAGAGAACAAATAAATGAATGTAACATATTACACCGACCACAAATGATGAAGATGATGATGATCTGACATTTGGAACACTGGCAAATTAAAATAGAAAGTCATATATCATTCTAATGTTCAGTTTTCCGTTAATTTCTATTAATTCTACAGTTATCAGCATACATTATAAGTTTAACATAGTGGAATAAATTAGACAATGACAATTGAAAAAATAGACAAAATTGTTGTAAGGAAATTTCTGATCAAAATTAATTGAACGCAGCTCAAGAGTTCTGTACAGTAATTGCAGAATAAATTTAGTTAAGGATAGACTTATGGAAAATGATAAACTTTAAAATTTTACAAAGTGCAATAAGAGAGCAATTATCATATGTTTTATTAGATGTTGCACTGCCCTCCTGAAAATTCAACCGATCGTTGAAACTATGTAACATCTTGTAATTATTGTAAAAAGAAAAATTTGTGAACACAGTTCCACACAAAATGTATTTTAATAAAATTGATGCCGGCTTTCATGTACGGACAAAACCAAGAAAATAATTCTTTGCAAACAAATCGTTACATAGATTCATAGAAAAAATATTTTATTCCTATTGAATATACATATATTCTTATTACAGAATACATATATCGTTTTTATTTTCTATTACAATCTATTAAAGCGCCTTTATATTAAGAATGCTTTGTCCTAACTTGGTCTAATCCAAAATTATCGTCATCTGCGGTTACCGCAGTAAACCGTATCCTAAAACGTTTTACAACAAAATCAATCTTCACGCATTTGGCTTTAGATTTACTTTCCAGAACTTACTTTAATGTTAATTCCAGAAACAGACGAAGCCGTCGTGTCAATGGTCATATTTAAAATTCGATTTTCAAATTTTATATTTGGAATTCGCGTTCAAAGCCGATGGCGACCGACGCGCCTCGCGCGGGACACTGACTGAAACTGAAAATGCGATGCCGAAAATAGAAGGCATAACGCTCCCCTCGGTTTCAGCGTTCTTTAGAACTAGTATGTTTTCTTGACAACGCCGAAAGAAAGTGATAAAAGATTGTACGGAATCCTATGGGTAACTGTTTTCAAACACTTTATTCTACAAAACAAAGATAATTTTTCATGTAGAATATAATTTCACGACTGCAATCCCACATAGGATAGTTTTCTGTCATTGTTAAGTAACATATTGATAGCAATGGGCGACCCCATTGCTATTAATGTGTACAGATACAGTGTTAGTATAGATTACAAACAATCACAACAACAAATCTCTGTGTCAGAGAGGAAATGTCAGGTCACGTGGCTCCTTGATACAACCTTATATAGTGTTCTGAATTTCCTAAGATTGGTTAACTGGGCTGACTTCATACTCATTATTTAATCTTTGTGTCTTGCCATTTATGAGGGCTAAGATGCCATGTCTCCGTATCTTGTAATTTCCCTGGCAACAACCTAGCATTCCTGGTAAATTCGCTACTATGGGTTAAATACCCGACATCATGCTCATCCCATATTCTTCATGAGTTGCTATTTCCGACCTCCGAATGGGAAGTCATGTCTTTGTATCTTGTAATTTCACTGCCATATTTATAGCCTACATAGCTAGTTTTTTAGCACGCAGATTGCTTTACATAAGGTCTACATGGCATGAAAGTAAATATAATTTTCACACAACTAAGTATATGTTATTGAACACCATAAAAAGCGACAGTGCCATTTTCGTACATAGTTGAGAGCAGAAAAACAGGTATAATGGAATATGGACGCGATCATGAGAATCAACTTTCCCATTCGATGCGTTTCTTTTCCATCAAAGACATTGAACTATTTACGTACAATCAGCTTGGTATTTATCGATATCTGTATTCTCATTGTAGTCCATTGCAGCTAGCAGAAGTTTCTTTATAATGTATTATTTAAACTGAATCGAGGTTCATCATTTTAAATTTTACAATTTAATATATTGTATCTATATTCCCATATCATCATTTATTAAATTATTTAACAATTTCTGTATGTATTAGGTACTTTGCTGATATACAGTAGAAATGTCTATAATTATAATAAACTTCATAAACTTAATAAATAATACTCTTATGCTTTTGAGTACGTGTGCTAGGACCACACCCGGGTCCTTAACAAGTTTTTTTTATGTAAACAAGCTGACGATTCACATGACGGAATTTCACTGCCCTTTAAATCATTGCACTGCTGCGGACCCAGTGCTTCTGGACGTGGATATAGACATAAATACTTGAATTGAATGTATATATAGTATATTGTAATTTACTAGCATAGTTTATAAGTTGTTTACTATCATAATATGGATACATATCCGAATTAAATAAAATATAAAAATAAATAAATCTAAACAGCTTGAGAAACAAAATACTTAGGAGCACAAATCTGTGAGGAAGACGTACAAAGTCTAGAAGTTTCTAGTGATGAATCAAATTGTAATAATCCCTTTTTTTCCCGCTGACTGTACATTAGAACTATAATTGCTTCTGATTACATTAATAAGAAACGTGATGGGTATATTGCAGTTACATACGATGAGAGTGGTTTTTATGAAGCCATTATAATACACATTTGCATAATATATGTACTTCTATGTGCTGTATATATGTTTTATACCAATCATATCATTCAGTATTTTACGGATTTCACACTAAATAATTTAGCGCACGAGATATGACAGCATGCAATGTTTGACGACAAGAAAGAATGTTATTTGACTAAGATTACCATTTCGAAATTTTAATATTTTACAAAATGGCGGAGGCGAACCTAAAAATGTTACTAAGGTTAACATGGCTGTTCAAAACTGTTTTATTTATCTTTTTTATTGTCTATGTTTTTTATAATAGATTATTATTTTATACATGACATTAGTCGGTAAAATTTGTTAACTACACCGGTGTCCTTTTTGCGCGGATCGTCATTGATCTCTTTTCTTTTCAATTTCCAAATTTGAAAATATTAACAAAATGGCGGATTAGTAAATAATTATATAAGATTAATGTAACATTAATCATTGGAAAGACCTAATATGGACAGAAGTGATTTTATGTAATTTGAGACTCATGTAAGTACATACCAAAAATTGAAATCGTAAGCCTGTATTTATTATTATTAATGTTTGTTTAAATGTGTAAAGTTATTAATAAATTATTATAATTTGAAATTTGAAAATGTGAAGAGAAAAACAAAATGGCGGAGTGTTAAATACTAAAACTTCTGACTAATAATGAACTTTTTAATTGAAATTCAAACAACGTTCAGCAGTAATAACCTACAAAATTAACATTGTGGAAACGGAACTGTTTATTTGTTTATTCATTATTTTTTTAATGGACGATGATCGATCGGTGATCCCGCGTATGCTAGT